GATTACTTTAAGGTTTTAATGAGTATTGACCCATGATTAATTTTAGCATGTTATTATTAGCTATTGGCCGCAGCTAGCAGTTCAAGGCTAACGTCTTGTTAATGATCATAAACAACGTAAATAAATACATAAATAAATCGACAAATCGAGACAAGCGACGGCAGGTCAGTCGTATCCGGAGACAACATTTTAGTATCTATACTTTTTTAAGTATCGATACTTTTGAGAACCCTAGTCTGAAATGTAGGACATGTCCGGGAAAAAGAGGAGCTGGGTAGGCTAGGTGGTCTAGGCTAGGCTAGGTCATAGACATCGATAAACGTTTGTCATGCATCAACACCAAACAGTCAAATATTAGTAAATCAATACGCTTCGTCTATCAGTGAGTCGCATATTTTGCAAAGGTTTTTCTTTATATTTTTAAAAAAATGTAACTAAATTTGTAAAATAGGTGTGACACAGCCCACAGAAATCTGTTCAAGCGGCATCTCAGACAATGACTCCTCACATTGGGTCTCATCTTCATTTTTTTTTTCTTCTTCAAAAGGCGAGTTTTCGGCAGAATAAAGGCTGAAAACAGTGTATTATTACAGTGAGTTATTGAGACGGCGTTTTCAATAGATTCAGAGGAGAGTAAAAAGAAACGGGGAAATTGTTGGGTTGTTGAATCCAAAGATGTGATCAGCTACTTACAAAACACTGATCAAAGCCTCTTTAGTATTTTTACTTGATTTCAGTAATAGTAAGATTACTCTATAAAATAGCTGTTTACATTATATACTCTACATACAGCTTTCTTACTGAGTTATTGTACATATTCACTGTTTCAGGTCCAGAAAATGAAATTACAACAAAGAAAAACAACTACTATCATTTAGAAAATAAAAGTTTTTTTCCAGACAAACTGTATTTGGGCTTTTAGTTTATTTTTTAGTGGTTTAGTGGGATTATTCAAAAGCACAATTTAAAAAATATACTGTTTTAACTTTCAAAGTTCTAACTTTTTTTGTTGTTATACATCTAGAGATGGATCAAATGTATTACAACAATATAAGAAAACACCTTTATTTAATTTTGTGTTGAAAATAATTGTGTTTTCTGATGTTTCCGGACATACTGCCGTCATTATGAATCCCCACTGAAAAAGGAATATGGAAAACAATAAAACGTGGACCTAAAGATCCAATTTTGATGGTGATCACAGCAAAACAAAACTCCAGAAGTTGTTGTGGACATCTCGGACCGCCACACACCTGAAAGCTGCTGTTGCTGCTGAAGTGAACCACCGTGCGCTGCCATTTGTCCATCTGTGTGTGGGAAACCGGTTCCACGTCTTCAGAGCTCTGCCCGGAGGAACTGGACCGGACCAGGACCACCAGACCCCCCCGCGGGGTCCCCACGTAGTGGTAGAACCTCATCTGAGGAACAAACCATCTGTTAATGGTTTAATTATTATGTGGTTGTTAGAATTTGGCTAAAACTACTCACTTTAGCATTGTATGCTAACACATGATCTATGTAAGTTACTGATTGATTGTGTTATTTTCTTTTATAACTATATTTTTGTGTTGAAGTCTCTAGCTGTGTCCACAGACTCTCTTTCCTCTCTTTTCTTTTCTCTATTTTTATTTCTTTCTTGCATTAGATTGTTAGAATTTGTCTATAATGACTCCCTTTAGCATAGTATGCTATCACATGATCTATGTAAATTACTGATTGTTTCATTTTCTTTTATAACTATAATTTGTGTTAAAGTCTCTGTCTATAACCACAGACTCTCTTTTCTCTCTTTTTCTTTCTCTGTTGCATTAGATCCACCTTTAGGTCAACACAAACACACACACACACATAATTTTTTACCACATTCCTGTCATCTGCATGAATTAGGACCTGGCCTGTTCCTGCCCAGAGGTAACTGGCCAACAGGATTTCAAAAAGATGAATCACGACACGATTACAGTGAATTTTTCATCAACTGCTTGTAAAATGTGCCGATTAAATCTATTAAAGTGTCAGAATTTGGCTATAATTACTCACTTTAGCATAGTATGCTATCACATGATCTACGTAAATTACTGATCGTCTATATTTTTGTGTTGAAGTCTCTGGCTAATTCCACAGACTCTCTTTTCTCTCTTTTTCTTTCTTTGTTGCATTAGATCCACCTTTAGGTCAACACACACACACACACACCATTTGTTACCACATTCCTGTCATCTGCATGAATTAGGACCTGGCCTGTTTATGCCCAGAGGTAACTAGCCAATAGGACTTTTAGGACCTGGCCTGTTCCTGCCCAGAGGTAACTGGCCAATAGGACGTGGTTGTGTCCAGTCCTCCTTTGAGGAGGCGGATGGAGCCCAGGAGATAATGCCCATCACCCAGATCTCAGGGCTCTTTGCCCACTGAGACCCAGAGAGAGGTTTTAGTCTGTTAGAGCCCAGCTGATACACTCAACTGTGAATATGAACCATTTATACTGTTGATGAAGTAAACGTCTGTTGAGTATTTGAACATAAAAGCGTTGATTTTAAGGCGTTAAAAACTACCTGGCAGCTGTGGGTGGGCCGGAGGGGGGGGGCTGCTCAGCTCTGCAGTTCCCACATCCGACAGGGACAGGAAATGAGCTGCGGGGGAAGAGAACGCATGCAGAACGGTGAAAAAAACAAACCAAAAAATAAAAACTCAATGGAGATTGGGTCCGTGTGTGAAAATAAAAGTTCCCCCCAGACCTGAGGCGTTCCTGTGGTCCTGCTGAAGGCCCGCAGCCTGGGTGGTCCGGGTCCATCCGGAGGGGGGCTCCGAGGTCTGGATCAGGTCACAGAAACCATCCTCGAAATCACACCGAGTGTACGCAGAGCCTGTAGACCATAGCGAGTAAGATTAGCTTTGTATCATCACCAGTCATTTCCATCCCCGTTCTGTGAACCATTTGGCACTTTCTCCAACTCGCACTATTCAAGCAGATGCATTTAACCCTTAAAAGCCTGATCCAAGAAAAATAGGAAGAATATTACATTTTTTAGTCTGAAGTCTTTCTTTGGCCCCTCAACAAAATACGAAGAAAAAAAAAAAAATTATTTTTGTCATGTCTGGGGGATTTTCTGGTGTCTCGTCATGTCTTGATTACCTGTTGTGTACACCTGGGGTTCCCCTCCCTCATGTGTTTAAATAGTCCTCGTTCCCCATGTCCTGTGCCAGTGCGTTTTCGTCTGTCTGTTTTCGTCACCCCATGTCAGGTTTGATTTTGTCACAGCCTTGTTTACTTTACTGACATAGTCTTGTTTTTGTACCATAGCCACCTTTTTGTCATAGCCATGTTTTACCACAGTTTTGTTAATATTGCCATAGCCTTGTTTACTCTTTCTTTGATACTTTGATCATAGTTTTTGCCACAGCCTTGTTTTGGAACCTTGTCCTGTCATCCACTCCTTTGAGTGCGTTTTTGTTAAAATAAACCTTTTTCTGCATCTCCGCGCCTGAGTCCTCCCATCAAAATCCACCTCCCTGACAATTTTGATCAAATTAGCGTGCAATAAGTAAAAAATATATGTTGGTGTAGTCTTCTACTGGCTGTTATCAGGTATATCTGAATGTGTACAACAGGGGTTTGAGCAAAGCTTTTACCACTGAATGATGCAAAAAGTCTCAGATCCAAAAGACTTCAGAAACCGTATGAATCAAATATGACACATTTGGCATTATAGGGTTAAAAAAAGAAACTACTGAATATTTAACATGTATGATACACTCCAAATCGAAACCATTTTATAAAGTATAGGAACCTTATTTGAACTACCTTGACCCGAATGTATCGGCCATTTTGTTAAAAGGATTTCCTGAAAGGTCATAAAGGAAAACATGCTTTTCTATTTTTATTTCTTCCTCCACATGTGGAACTGTATACTGTATGTTTTTCTTTCTTTTGTTTGTTTGTTTGTTTGTTTGTTTGTTTAAGCCATTGCTTATTGGATATTTGTCTACTTGCTGTGAAATTGAAAATGAATAATTCTATTCTTTAAAAAAAAAACTAAAAAAAACAAATGACTAACTGTTAGACTATGGGAACACTCGGGGTAAAAGCTACCAGAGAGAAAGGAAACCTAGAAGATTTGTCTTTTTCTTGAGAATAAAAAAAGAAATTTTTAGATGTCAGAGCTTTTTGGATAATTCTAGAAGTCTTTGTAGATCTGGTTTTGATTCATTCAGATGCAGCTGTTATAAAAACATCAGGTCCTCCATCACATCATGGCCACTGAAAAACAGAAAGCCAGCTGAGAAAAGACCAAAGTGATGAACGATCAAACCAGAGCTGTAAAACTGCTCTCCTCAATTATAGATAGATGTAATTGTAAACTGTAATTTAATTTGTAATGTAATCTTTTGCCGCTGTCTTGGCCAGGACTCCCTTGAAAAAGAGATTGTTAATCTCAATGGGACTTTTCCTGGTTAAATAAAGGAAAGAAAGAAAGAAAGAAAGAACCCACAGAATGACACCTTGTTATTTGTTATTGGCACTCGTGCAAATGGAGATTAATCTAAAGGTACACTAAATATCTTTCATAGACTTTCTGCAGCAGTTTTTCACAATTATCAAAGAAAAAAATTATCGGATATTCTATTTTCGATGCGAGCTTTTCCATGGTCTAGGCACTAAGGAGTATATAAATGTCCTCTAATGATAAGTGATTATGTGATTTGGACTCCTCAGAGACTTAATTCCACATGATCTCTGCCACTGCTGACTCAAAAAACATCAGTTTTTCATATCTCTATCTCACCACTGACTCTGATCAGTGTTTCTCCTCTGTATAGCTCATTGTCATAGTGATGAGAAATGTAATAGTGTGTCTACTCTGTAAGTCGCTTTGGATAAAAGCGTTAGCCAAATGCATAAACATAAACATAAACATAAATATGTGGCAACAGGTTTTCTGATATCTTGGATCTCTGATATGGCTACTAACCAAACCTGGTCTTCTTACATCACAGGGAAAATAATCAGTTTCTACAACAAAACGATATATTAATGTATTATTTTAATGACTGAATAATACAATGAACGGTCTGGGTCCTTATAAAAGTGGTGTAAGAACACTGTGATCTCAGTTCTAGAGGAAATGTGTTAATAGAAGCTGTGAACAAAGACAGTATTCTTTATAAAAAGGACTTTACTCCACAGCTTTTAAAAGTTTAAAACTCACAGTTTTTCTCGTCGCTTCCGTCTCCGCAGTCGTCCGTAAAGTCGCACAGGCGGTCCCGGGCCACGCAGAGCCCCGTAGGGCAGGAGAACTCCTGGTCTGAGCAACTGGAGACCAGGTTTGGGCCTAAAACCAGCCCCAGAATCAGCAGAAACCCCGACGCCATCGGCCTACGTCAACAACTGCCCACCTCCACCTCCCAGAGGAGCATTTTTGCTTTCAGGATGTGAGGGAAAATCCTGGTTGTCGGAAAGGTTTTTCTCCCTATGATCGAATCTGTAGTGTGTTCGAGTTGTAAAAGGCAATAAATGGCTTTATGGCTGTTACTCAACACGGGCACCTAACATGTGAGCTCAACAGGAAGAACACGATCAGATTCTCGATAACAGAGACATCCATTCACACCTTCGTTTTAAGTAGGCAGTAGGTGCCCCCCCTCAAAATTTCTGTAGAAATTTTAATTTCCCGAGTTTCAAAATAATCCATTCATCCATTATCTTTACTGTTTATTCCCTAATGGGGTCTGGGGGTGTGGAGCCTATCCCAGTAGCCAATGGGGAGAGGCGGGGTCACCCTGGACGGTCCCCAGTCCATCACAGGGAGACACAGAGACACACAAGGACCAACTACCACACACACTCACACTAAGGGCAGTTTGGAGTCCAGCCAACCTAACATGCAGGTTTTTGGATGGTGGGAAGAAGCCGGAGAACCCGGAGAGAACCCACAGACACAGGAGAACATGCAGACTCCACCCAGAAAGGTCCTGGTTCCCCCGGGACTCCAACCCAGAACCCTCTGGTCCTGGTTCCCCCGGGACTCCAACCCAGAACCCTCTGGTCCTGGTTCCCCCGGG